AGATGTATTTTATAGAACAACCTCATCTGATTCCTCTTCCAGTAGTTCAGGGGCGGGAGCGGCTCAGAAGTCTGATACGGAGGGCTGGCTTTCCAGGGGTGAGGCCCACCAGGGACCGTCTGACTGGTTCTTATGCCCGTCCATAAGTCCTCTAGATCACCCATTCCAACTTCGCGGAGAATTAGATTAATTCTTATTTTTTTGCTTTTGCGTTTTTGGGTCACCCAGCAATGCACAGGGGTTACTCCTGGCTCTGCACTCAGGAATTACTCCTGGTGGTGCTCAGGGGACCTGCTGGGAATCAAACCTGGGTTAGCCTAGTGCAAGGCAAACGCCCTACCCTCTGTACTATCACTCCAGCCCAGACTTAGCACTGTCCTCCCGTTGTGCATTGATTTGCTCAAGCAGGCACCAGTAATGTCTCCATTGTGAGGCTTGTTGTTACTATTTTTGGCATATCAAATACGCCACAGGGAGCTTGCCAGGCTCTGCCGTGCAGGCAGGATACTCTCAGTAGCTTGCCGGGCTCTCCAAGAGGGACAGAAGAATCAAACCTGGGTCAGCCACGTGCAAGGCCACCTGCTGTGCTATTGCTCCAGCCCAAAATAACCCAAGAAAATTAAGCACTGTAGCACTGTCCTGCCGTTGTCCATCGATATGCTCGAGTGGGCACCAGTAATGTCCCCATTGTGAGACTTGTAAGAAAATTTTTAAAAATTTTAAAACGTAGCTGCCTGCCTGAGCTCTTTTGAACTGTTTTCTACTGCCATTTTAGTGTTAAAAACTAAAGGCGGGCCGGGCAGGGGTGGGGTCTGGAAAGGTAGTACAGGGGTTAAGACACTAGCCTTGCATGACTGGCCCTGGTTCCAACCCTGACATTGCACACGGTCCTCTGAGCACTGCCAGGAGTGATCCTTGAGCATAGCTGGGTATGGCAGTCTTGGTGCATATGGGCAGATGGTTGTAGCTTGTATGAGACCAGGGGAAGGGGGTCCCTTAGATTCTTTATGGGGTGAAGTTTAGGGGGTAGTAAGTGAAGCAAAGATTGTGGGGTTTCTTCTGTGAATTCATGCTCTGAACCCAGACTTCTCATGAGGTTTCTCTGTCAGAGTGAATATCCATTCAGTGCTTCATAGTTAGTCCCCACCTTATCGTGTGTGTGTGTGTGTGTGTGTGTGTGTGTGTGTGTGTGTGTGGCTTCAGTCCTGTTGAAAGAGTGAAGTCAGGTGGTGCTTGAGTAGCCTTGCAATGGGGCCACCCTTCCATGTCCTTTCATTTGAGAGGATCTGGATGTGAGGGTGTCATTGAACCTGCCTTCTCTTTCCTCCCGTCTCCTTTGCCATAAGGGTCTTGATCTTTTCCTCTGTGCTGGAAAAGTGAAAAGCCACTGTGAAGCCAAAGCTGTCACGAGGGAGCCAAGTGGTGGGTGGGCGGCAGCAGGCACGTTCACGTTGCATTCCAGATAGAAGTTGATTGGGGTGCTTGCATTTGCTGTGGCCTTTTTCTTTTTTGGAGGCGTTGCCCTGTCTTAGCACATCATGTGATTTTGCGGTGATAATTAGGCAGAAACTTGTCTTCCCTACAGATGCCAAGATTACAGAGAGACTTACTCTCACCAGAGACCAGATGACAGCATCCAGAGATATTTTTAGAAAGAGCCTCATCATTTGGTCTCCCCATTTCATTTTCCTTGCAAGAACAGCCTGATTTCTTGCTGATGTGTTGGGGTGCATTGTTAGGGTTGTGAGCTGGAGGGGGGTCCTCTCCCATATCCGGAAAGTCTCTGGTGGGATGGGGACCGTGCTGACATAGCTTTCGTGTTCATTGGCTGGTTGAACTTGTTGAGAAGTGGTGGCTCTATTCCCTTTCAGTGGTATTGCCTGCTCCTCCTCCTCCTTCCAGATTGTTATGTTTTCGGCCTTAGACGGGCATCAGCAGGGACATTTAAACCCCACGGTTAGGTAATAGGCTGCCACGGTGAGAATGGCAGGGCTGCCCAAAGGATGTGTAATGTGTGTCCATGCTGAGTGTGTGCCTGTGTGGACTGGTCTCCCCTCTCAGTCCTGACCGAGCCCCCAGAGAGCCCTTAGATCCAGGCGGATGCTGTGCTGCTCTCCTTCGGGCATAGTTTCCATCGCTGTGTCTCCCTGCTTGGCACCCTGACGCCCTCCTCTGAGGATGACTGTGCCTCTCCCCCCACCCTCCGCTTCCTTGATGTTCTCTCACTCTTTCACCGTCTGTTTTCCTTCCGTCACAGAGGAAGCACGTTGTTCTCTGGGGCGGGGGCGGGGGGGGAGTGTTGAAACGAAATGTGTCCACATGAGAGTGACCTCGAGACCCTGGACTCTCCCGACTCAGCCTCCAGACACAGAGCCCCTTCGTGTCCAGGCAGGGGGCTGTCCTAGACAGAGTACGGCAGCTGACCCCACTTTCTGGTCTGCAGAAAGGCCAGAAATACGGGGTGGAGGGGGGGGTCTTCCTGCCCCTGGGGCTCTGCTAGGGTGCCTAGGTGCCACCTCCTCCTTGGTGCTGACCAGCCCCCTCATTAGCAAGCTGCCTGCTGGGCCTGTACTTGGGGAATGAAGCGTGTCCCCTTCCTGGCAGGCACTGGTTTCCGTGGCTAAATAATTAACACCGCAGGGAACTGGGGGGATGGGACCTGAATTAGGTAATACTGACAGCTTCTCCCTGGACTCCTACAGTAGGTCAGGTTTGGGACTTGGGGACTCGAGTCCCCTGATGACTCATTGCATAGTGATGTTAGATTGTGGTTTGTTCGTTGTAATTGTGAAGGAAAAAAACCGAATCCCCTCTTTAGGAAGCGCATCAGAACCTCTGTCTCTTCATGCCTGCAAGGTCCCAGGTAGAAGTCAGGATCACACAGTGCAGATGCTGAATTGTGACTGGCAGGCTGAATTCCTCCTGGATACCAAGGTGTCTGGCCTTTGCACTTTTCCTCCTTCTAAAATCTCTAAGCTGTGCTTCTGCAGTGCAGGGTGATAATACTTGAAGCAGACACTACCACCCAGAAAGCCAAGGGTGCCAGATCTCGGGATGCAGAGACCTCTTTCCCTCTGTCATTGTCCCTGCCCTCCTGTCAGAAAATTTCCCTTCTCCTCTGGGGAGCTGTACCCAGGGTAGACAGGACCATGGGAATGTAACCTTACAAGTGCTAAACCCTGAGGTCTTCGTGGAGATGGTAACAAAAGGTATGATGCCAGCCAGCCCAGCCACAGGAGAGATTGAAGTCACAAGCACATATTGTAAAAATTCCAGATGACCATTTGATCATCTCTTCTCTATGGAGGGAGGTGCAGGCGTCCGTGCAGGTGCGTGTGCACGCACGAGTGTGTCTGCGCTCACTTTTTGATGCATTTTTCATTACTTGTTCACCTTATCTGGTGAGTTCAAGTTGCTTCATTACCACTTTTCTATCCATTGCTTGACTTACAGCCATTTTCCCCTACCTTGACAGTCAACACTCTTTCCTTCTCTCCCTCCACTCTTCCCCGCCCCTCTCTCGGCTCTTCCCCGACCCCCAACAAAAGATCCTCTGTCTTGAGGTCTGTCTTGTCAGTTCCTTTAGCTCCATTTCTATGAGTGTACTTTTTATTTTAATCCTCTGACCTTTCCTGGGGCTGGAGCGATAGCACAGTGGGTAGGGCGTTTGCCTTGCACGCAGCCAAATGGCCAACCCGAGTTTGATTCTTCCGCCCCTCTCGGAGAGCCCGGCAAGCTACTGAGAGTATCTCACCCGCATGGCAATGCCTGGCAAGCTACCCGTGACGTATTTGATATGCCAAACACAGTAACAGTTGTCATAATGGAGACGTTACTGGGCCCACTCGAGCAAATCGATGAACAAGGGAGGACAGTGACAGTGACCTTTCCTGGGTTCCGTGGCCACTTGTAGTCTGGTACAGCTTACATACATTCAGATACTCTGAGAAAGAAATTTTGTGCTATTACCTTTGAAGATTATTGGAGACAGGATAATAGTAATAATGTTCATTGTTAATGGGATGTTTTGTGGGAGAGTTTTTGGCTGTGTGTGTTACATATATAGTTTTTCTCTGCAGATTTTTAATGCAAAAATCCAGTACCTAGGGACAGGGAGATAGCCCAAAGTGCTGGAGTATTTATCATGTGTGTGCCCCCAGTTCAGTGCCTGGCCCCCCCGCACTGCCAGGTAGAGCCTTGGAGGGACCCAGCATCACTGAAGCTTAGCCTCACCACATCATGGGGTGCAAGCATTAGTCTTTGTGGCCTCATTAGCCGAGTATTAACAGGAGCGGACCCTGTCCCCTTTGAGCATTGCATAGGAGACCCCACCCCCCAAAAACTTCTGAGATGGTCAACTTAGAAATAACTTGCTCCTTAATAGGGGAGGAATTTAAATTGACCCCTCCCTGCCAGTATGAGCATGAGCCTTTGTGGAAGGGAGTTATTTTTGGGTACTCCGCTAGTGGAGTATTCTGGGGGAGGCGGTCTTCTAGGCTGGCTAGTCCTCAGAGCCAGTAGGGGAATAACCAGAAACGTGTGTGCTCCCCTGAAGATCCCCTCCTTCCCTGGTTCCAGCATGAAAACCCTATCTCCTGGGAAACCCTGCAGTTGGAAAATTTAGAGAAAGATCTCCTCTTCCCCTGGACATCCTCCCTGCAAAGGACCCCTGTCACCACCCCACCCCACCCCCCACCATTCACCCTTCTTGGTTAACCTCCCAGAGTGATGAACCCCTTTTCCTTGGAGGCTTTGCAGCACCCGCATCCTGGCTCCAGCCCAGACAGAGGTTTAGGTGGTCTGCACATCCTTGGGTGTCCACCCTTGAGAGCAGTGTGGGCATGTGCAGGCGGGTCTGCTTTCCGGCCAGGCCCCTTGGCTGGGTGGTGGGGCCAGGAGAGGAGGCTGAGAAGCCACACACAGGCCGCCACCCCCTCCCAGCCCCGTTGCTGTGTGAATGTCCTGTACTCACCTCTGGTTTTCTTGTCTCCTTCTTTTAGACCCTCAAACTGACACAAGACCTACAGAGAAAACCCTTTGCCAAATCTGCTCTCAGCAAGTGGACAGTGATACCGTTTACAGCTTAACACCTTTGTGACTCCCGCGCCATTCCCTAGCCCAGCAGAGACTGTTAACAGCCCCTGACCCCGGGTGAAGCACTTAGTCCTGGAACAGAACTTTCTCTAAAGTATGCAAAACCTTCCTTGTACGGGGTGACGAGCCAGCCACCTGCCCGCGAAGGACCACCACTGCAGAGCATCCTGCGTGCCCCGTGTCTCCAGGCCCCAGTGGCCCATGGGATATTTTTAAGTGCTGTTCTGTGTTTGTTTTCCTTTGCTTTCTGGGGTTTTCACATGCATTAACTTGCAGTATTCTTCTGTTGAAATGTTAGCCATTCTTCCCCTGCAAGTTTTTAAAAACAGAAGGAAAAGTTTGTACCAGTGGCCATCCTGACTTGGGGCCTCACACATGTTTGAGCCCATAGAACTCTATGAATTAAAACATCACTTAAGCCAGAGAGGGGGTTTCATCTGGGGTTGGGTTAGCCAGAAGTCCTTATCTAAGAAAAAAAAAACAAAAAGAAAAAGTGGCACAATTATCTGCATACGCACGCCAGTCCAGGATGAACCCCACAGAGGGCACTTCCACGGAGCCCAGCACCGCTGACCCGACCACTTCTCAGTTCTGAGATGGTGGTTGGGCCTGTGGTCTCCTGTCTATATCCTCAGTGTGGGGTGATAAGTCAGCACCTTTCGGGGGTGGGGGAGTGGGGAAAGCAATCAGCTCAGCTTCTACTCATTGCCAAATGCCACGAAAAGGGTTTAGTTTTGGGAGGAAAGGAACAGAAAAAAGAAAAATAGTCCTATTTTGCTTTACAGAAGACACGAATATCCAGGGGAAGGCTCAGCCTGCAGTGAGACATGTGTGCAAGGCGGAGGGGATGCCTTCCTGGTCCCCTAACTCGAGCCCTGGTTGTTCCATCCTGGCTGCCTGGGATCCGTTGTACCTCCCAGGTGCGGCTGAGTGAGAGGCATCCTGCGGAGATTTGATAGAAGCTCAGATTTGGTGAGCCCGGCATAGGCTGCCGTGGAAGGATCAGATAGGGCAGTTTGTTTTCCCGCTTCTTTGGATTTCATTTTGTTTTTCCCTAAAGTTTTGGTGCTGTCTAGGTGCTTTTCTGTTTAACCCAGAGCGTGAGATTAGTCCCTCCCCCCACCTTTTTTGTTTTTTGTTTTTTTTTTAAGCAGACAGTGTAGTTGGGGGACACCTTCAGTACCTATGAGACTGGCATAGCGACACTCGATTATTAGCACAGCGTATGCATACTTCTCCAAAGTGATCGATGAAGACTTTTCTTTTCCTCTGCATAAATAAAACGCATTAGGCAGACAAATGTATAAATATATTTTACCGTGTACAGTACAAAAACAGACCCTCCTGCATGGGCGTTAGGAACCCTCAGCAGTGTCTCAGCCCCATGCTCCCTGCATGAGCCTTCACAGACCCCACGGTGAGCACTGACTCCCTCCCACCAACAGGGATGGGCCACCTGCGCCTCCCCCAGTCCCCCGCCTGCGGCACTCACACCTGCCACCGGGGCCCCTCGTGCACCCCTGCTTTGCAACCCTTCTGGGCCCAAGGTGGGTGGCCACCACAGCTCCCAGCATAGTGAAAACTCATTCAGTATCATCCTGCGTCTCTGCACCTTGCCGGGGCTGTGCTGTTTGTGTGACAGCCCCATTGACTCCACCTCGCCTTTCACCGACTATAAATCATCGTGCAGTTGTGGTTATGGTAGACCTATAGCCTATCGCCTTTTCCAAACAGCTACAAGTTTATAATCTTCATTTTAAAAATACGTATGATTTTTAAGAGATATTCTACGCACCAAGGTCTGCTTGTTGGCGAGACAAGGTTCTGCTAACAGTCTCCCTTGATCATTATGCTAGGGACCTCCTTGATCTCCTCCACGGCACGGCACGGCATGCTGTGCCCCAGAACTGTCTGTGGTGGTGACCCCACCCCTCACAGCTACCTCTCGGTGCCAGGGGGTGCTGGGGGTGACCTGCGGGGTGGACTTCAGTGCAGAGGGTTGATCACATCTCTTCTGAGCACGGGGAGACAGGCAGACTGACAGTAGCTTCTGGCCTTGGCAGTGTTTGAGGTGGCAGGAGTTCCTGTGGGAGTAAGAAAGGGGACCCACAAATGTGCTTCCACTTTGAAACGTGGGGTTCCTTTCATTTGATTGGCTCCCCTCCCCCACCCGCAGCAGGTGTTGGATTTCAAGTAGAATGTCTTAGTATTCTAGAACCTGAATATGATTTAACCTAAGGCAGCTGAGGGAGGGGCAGAGGACCCAGGAGAAGTAAGTGGAGAGGGGTGCTTGGGGCTGGGGAGAATGTACTAACACACGGGGTCTCCTCAGAGTGCTGGGGGCTGAGTGAGGGCAAAGTAGTGTCTCAGTATCCGCCCAGAAGGGGGTCAGACAAAAACGAAAGTCTGTCTGGGATCTTGCCACCCGTTCACAGTGCTCTGTCCCCATCAGGGACAGGCTCCCTTGGACTAACTGAGGAGCTGCTGTGCGCCCTCCCCCAGCACCCTTTCTCATCTGTGTGAGGGAGCTCCCTCCTGGGGTGCGGGCAGCCTGTTCTCTCCTGGGCCCCTATGGAGCACGCAGGATGTGTTGGGCTGGTGGCTGGAATGTTGGCATTACAAAAGAACTGGCCCAGGCTACTCTCCAGCTTCTAAAAAACTGCTCTCTGGACCACCCTCCCCCCCAGCCCTGCAACCCCTTCTGACAGGAAATTAGAAAGAAGGGTCACTGATGTTGAACATATGCCATGGGGCTCTGCGGTTCCCTCCCTCCTGGTTCCAGAACTGGGTACCTTTTACCAAAGTTAGCAAAGAGCTTTATCACAAGCCCTCACTGGCCTGGTGTGGGACAGCGCCCACCCCACCCCCCAGCCTAGACCAGCAGACCCCGTCAACTGTGAATCCCCACTCCCCCAGGTTCACCAGGACTCCTGTTTCCTGAGACATCCTGTGTACAGGGATGCTGTGTTGTGCGTGGCCCCTGCCTATCCTGACGTGGTGCTTAGCACCACGAAGTTCAGGCTTGGAGTCCTCCCTGGTGAGGTCCGTGCTTGCCCAGGATTGGAGGGGCACATGGACTCTGCCTTCACCCAGTGAGCACGCCCATACAGACTGTGACTTACCTGCCTGGGAAAGACTCTCCGGGAGAGGCAGAACGCCACCCAGGCCAGGTCACATGCTGCCACAGACTGTCACCCCTCCTTCCTCTGAGAGCAGAAACCAAACCTGACAGTGCTGAGCCCCTTTTCCTGCTACTGTCTTTGGAGAACATTGGATGATTAGTCATACTTTTTTAAAAAATTATTCTTTAAGAAGCAACGTTTTGGTTTTTTTTCTTTTTTTTTTTTTTTAAACATACAATCACTGGCAAAGAGGTACGAAAAAGCCAGCTTCTTTGGCAAACTGCGGGGCAGAGAGGCCCATGAGGAAAAGTAAAATTCTTGTGAAAATCACATCTGAGAACAGACTGTTAAAGCAGATGCCCTAGGCATGGGACCGCTTAGGTTTATATTTGGTCTGACTCTTTAACGGGAAATTTTTTATGCAGTTTGAATGAATGAAATAATTTCCCTCTTGTTTAGTTTTAGTTTTCTGTGTTTTTTTTTCTTTGATGAATGATTGGTTAGAAAGCCTTTGCCACACTCCAGAAATATTTGCGTGGCTGCTTGAAAAAAAAAAATGTGTGTCCGGTCACCTGTTTCTCTAAAATTATCTCATTGCTTGGCAGACAGTCTTTGCTCATATACTTGTTCTAGCACATAACATACACAGGAAATAGAAACAAATATGAAGGAAACCAAAAAATTAGTCGATATTAAAAAAAGTATCTTGTGCATTTTGGCTTCACATGTTGCACATTTTTTAAGAAAAAAGGTTGCATGAATGGGGGAAAAAAATCCGTAACAGTACCAGTAATTCGTAATGGTTTCTTTTGTCACACCCCATGCAGACTAGAATTGACATGGTGCATGGCCATATTCCAACACCAGAGAGGCACGCACTTAATCTGTTGAAGTACTTTATCCTTTCTTTCCAAGTGAACACTATCATGCATTCTGAGGATTTTTTTCTAACCATCTGAGTTGTCATGAATTAACTCTTCCACTTTTTTTTTCTCCAGATTTAAAACTGGTTTGAGTTGGGCATCTCCCCCCTTTCAAAATGAACTAGAGATGCAGCCCTTCCTTTCCTAGGTGTTGTAGATATTGCCTTGTGTATGCCATTTAAAACCATAATCTAGTTTGTAAAAGAGATGGTGAAGCATGTAAATAAAGCATCAATGACACTCTATCTTACTCCGAGAAGATTTTGTTCTCCCCTTTGGTTGGCACCGAGCATGGCATGGAATAGCCGAGTTCATGTCAAGATCATCCTGTGGGCGGACCTCATGGGGAAAGGGCACAAAGCTGGGATCTCGGGATGAATCTGGGGAATGTTGTCTCTGGTTCCCTTTTCCTCTACATGACAGCTAGACGATGGAATAAAAGCAGGTTGACAGCATCATTTCTGGGGGTTGATTGTCATCTTTGCATTCACTGGGTCAAGTTGGCCAAGAGTAGTTTTCTGCCTTTAGATGATCTTCACTGAGTGCCAGGCTTGGATGTGTCCAGTAAGGAATCAAATGAGTTCAAGAGATAACTTCACCTCCTGCATATTGAGAGTCGTACACGCAATATTTCAGGCTCTTGGGGTTAGCTGCATAATTGCTCACACTATGTACTTTTCCAGATTTCAAATAGTCTCAGTTAAGATTTGGAATCTCAAGAGGTCCACCCTATTGTAAAACTACTGGTAGACCAGGTTATGTGTGTGGTTTTAATAGACATGATCTAAAAAGAAATTATTCAGGCTGAGAACTGCAGAGAGGGGCCCCGAGCCTCCCGATCACCACATGGGACACTCAGAATTAAAAGAGTCTTGTTGATAGTTCAGTGGTCTAAAAATACCTGCTTTGCAGCCATGAGTCCAACTTCTGGTGCCATCCACATGCACGGAGCCTGGTTGCAGTGCCAGCCACAAAGTTTGGGGTCTCCCAACACACAGCCAGGTGTGTGCCAGCACTGCAGCTACAGTAGGGGCCACCCAGTGAGCATATGTGAGCACCACAGTGATCCCATGTAAGCAGTTCAGGATGTGTGCAAGCCCCTAAATGTGTGTGACCCCCAACAAGCACCACAGCAAGTGTGTGTAACCCGGGTCACCACCACAACAGTGTGGCAGCAAAGGGAAGGGGACAGGGGAGGAAAGAAAAAAGATGGGTAACATTAAGATCTGAAAGAGTTAGCATATGGGCCAGAGAGATAGGACTGGGGGTAAAGTGCTTGTCTTGCAGCTAACTCTGGTTTGATCCCCATCACCACATATGGTTCCCCTGAGCACAGAGCCAAGAGGAAGCTCTGAGCACCACCAGAAGAAGAAA